ATGAACTCTTTCCATGTTTGTTGCTTGTCTCCTAATTTATTATATACCAACCTTAACTTTTTTGTTTGTTTGTTTGGGTTTTTTTGGTGTTTTTGTTTTTGTTTTTGTTTTCACTATAGGGCGCGTGCGCTCGCCAGACAGACAGAGAGAGACATAGTGACAGAAAGCGAGAAATCACCCCCCAAGGGGGATGGTCACGCCACAATCCCTTCTCCTTCATTCTCCTCTCGGGATCTTGGGCACGCATGCACACGCACCCGGCGTGAGTTTTAAGCCACCGGGTCCAGGATGTGAACCGTGGTTGACTATGTGGGAGTCCAGCGACATAGCCATTACGCTAACTGCTGGTTCCCACTCTTTTTTTTTTTTTTAAGGTTGTTGCCATAGGGTGTGTGTGCTCGCAGGAGAGTAGCAGAGAGAGATAGTGAGAGGGAAAGTGGGAATCACCCACTGAGGGGGTGGCCATGCTGCAAGCCCGTCTCCTCTATTCTTCTCCTGGGATTTTCAGCATGCATACACATACACCCTGAATGATTTTCAAGCTGCCATATCTGGGGCACAAACAATGGTCAGTCACACGGGGGTCCAGTGCCATGATATCACTAGGCACCTGCTGTAAGCCATAACATTTAAAATTATGTATTTTATATATGCTCTAGCACATTCAAATCTATTTTTTCCCTTTTTTTTTCCTCTCTATGGGGCACATGTGCTCACCAGAGAGAGACAGACAAAGACAGCAAGAAAAGGTAAAAAGCATCCCCCAGAAGAGATAGCCATGCTATAATCCCTTCTCTTCCACTTCTCTTTTCAGAATTTTGGGCATGTACATACGAGCGCCCAGCATGTTTTTCAAGCCACCAGGTCTAAGACTTGGATCGTGCTGTCAGCCATGTGGTATCCAGCTGCCTAAAACACCACACCACCTGCTGGCCCACACATTCATATCTAAGTAGATGTCTATGAATACGTATTCCATGAACACAGAGACGGTATATGTTAAGGACTTCCTATGTAGTAAACCATGAGAAACAGTTTTTATGTGCCTTATTTAAGTTTATAGTTCAACCCTACATGAGCAGGATTATGTCTGTTTTATAGATGTGCAAATTGAGGCAAAGACAGGTTACATGATATACTTACGGTTTCAAACTGCTAAAAACGAGGGGTGCTGGAGTTTGAGCACAGACTACTTGTATCCAAAGTTAAAATAGGACTTCAGAGCCAGCAGGTGACATAGTAGTTAAGGAATTGGATTCCCACATGTTTGACTGCAATTTGAGTCTTAGACCAGGCTTGAAAAATTATACTGGGTATGGGTATGTGTATGCCCAAAATCTCAGGAGGAGAATGGAGGAGAAGGGATTGTGATATGATCATCCCCCTAGGGGGATTTTATCTCACTTTCTTTCTCACTATCTCTCTGTCTCTCTTGGGCGAGCACACATGCCTTATGGCAGAAGTCTTTAAAAAAAAAAAAAGGACTTCTTAGTTTCATCATGAATGAAGCCATTTTAATTTGGCTGCAACTTTTTATTTGCTTCCTGTTTTTAAATAAGATTTGGAATTGTGTTTACTTACATAATTTAACAATTGCAACATCTTAGAACTCTCATGTCTATACAAATCTTTACATGTTTAGTTCAAATTTCTACATCAGTTTAGTAGATAGAATTCTTTTTTCTTTCTTTCTTTTCTTTTCTTTTTTCTTTTTTTTTTTTTTTTGTAGAAAGATTTTTATATAGGGCATGTGCACTCGCCTGAGAGGCAGAGAGAGACAGAAAACGAGAAATCACCCCCCGGGGGGATGGCCATGCTGCAATCCCTCTCCTCCATTCTGGGCATGCACACACATGTGCCTGGCGTGAGTTTCAAGCTACCAGGTCCAGGATTCCAACTGCAGTCAGCTATGTGGGAGTCCAGTAACGTAACCATTACCCCATCTGCGGGTCCCACATAGAATTCTTAATGTTTTCTTTTTTCTTCTTTTTTTTTTTTTTGAAAGGAAAAGGTAGTTTATGGCAAAAGTACACTCCTGAGAGGTGGGAGTGGGCCCAAGCAGACAAAGAGTGGCTCAAATGACCCCAGCAGTTGCACTTTGCAAGATTTATCTATTTTATTAAAGAGAGATTTTTTTTTTTTTTGCTATAGGGCACATGCACTCACCAGGGACACAGAACGAGACAGAGAGACAGAAAGCAAGAAATCACCCCCCAGGGATTGTGGCCACATCACAATCCCTTCTCCCCCATTCTTTTCTCGGGATCTTGGGCTCACACACACACATGCCCAACATGAGTGTTAAGCTGCCTGATCCAGGACTTAAACTATGGTCGGTTACATGGGAGTCTAGTGATATAACCATTATCCCATTTGCTGGTCCCGAGATTTATAATTCTTAAATCTAGTTCATGTTGATTGATTATTGACTGGGTCCACTAACTGTTCTCATCTCATTGGCTCTATTAAATGTGTCTGGGCCCACTGATTTCTCAGTGGCTATTTCAAATGTGGCTGGGCCCACTGATTCATTTCACTGGCTATATCAAATGTGGCTTAATCAGTTAGGCATCCCCCACTAATTGCCTACATTACCTTGGGTGGGGAATTTTCTGCCCTGCTCAGGTTTTTCTATCCTGTCACTTGGGCAGATGTTCAAACCCTCTTACCCACTTCCATTTGCTAGCTTTCTCTTGCCTCTTTTTCCCCCTGAGAGGCATAATCCCCATAAGCCTTTTTGGGGAGCCAAAGGTGGATGGTCTGTCTTCTGTAACTGCTTCATGCTGGAAAGGGACATTGGGCATTGCATCTACTGGGGATCACAGAACTCTGTCTGATCTAGGTGGGAGAGCGAGGCCAGAGGCAGATCGTAGAATTTCAAGATCCTGAGAGGAGAACAAAAGATTGCAGCGTGGCCATCCCCCCTGGGGGGTGATTTCTCCCTGTCTCTCTGTCTGTCTCTGTCTTTCTGGTGATCGGACACGCCCTATAGCAAAATCCTCTCAAAAAAAAAAAAAAGTCATGTTCTGAATTTTGGTTATACCCATGTACATCTGTCACATTCTTTGCAACTACTCTAAAATCTTATTATGTAAACACTTTAGTTCCTGCTGGAGACAGCCCCCCGGAGCAGAGCAAGACTTCTGATGGAACCTGCCAGATTAACAGATATGGGTATTTCAGAGCCATCATCACAATTGTAGGTAAGTCTGAAGACCATGTGGGGAGTGAGGCTATAAGCCACCTAGGGTCACTCACTTTGCTAACTCTAGAGGGGTAGATGTGAGGAGCAGGAGCACCCCCTCTCCCTGTTGAAGGTGATATATGTCACACGTACACAGGTGATGACTCCACTAGTTTCTGTAATAGATTCCCACCTGCCTACCCAGCCTTCTTTAGACATCCTGGTGGCAATACACCGTCTGCAAAGCCCACACATGCAAGTGCCCTTTGCTGAGCCTGGATCCCACCTGCATGCCCCAGCAATCTAAATGAACATGGATGAAGGAAAACCAGTTTCACATTCTCACAGCTTCCCTGCCCTTCCTCTAGCTAATTTTCACAAAGGCACACTTCTTGTAAGGGGAGTCAACAGGCCACTTCATGTGGTTGAACATTTTGACCACTGCCCTAAGGTGTCCAGCAGAGAAGACAAGTGAGGGCTGAAGCCCAGACCGTGTCCTGGAACCAAAACATCTTCCTGAAACATCTGCCTAAAGGCATGCTGCTTTCTAACACCTACATAGGTAAAAGTTTAGTCTAGATGAACAGTTCAACTTGAATTTGAAATTGCTACATGATATGTATGCAAAGCTTGGGGCTAGATTCCTGGACCTGGAGTGCTTCTGTACAGCAAGAAGGCTGTCTCCACTTTTTTTTAAATTTCCAATTTGTTAAGAAGTGTGTCCTAGTCTGTTCGAACTCCTATAACAGAATACCATAAACAGAGTGTCTTATAAACAACAGAAATTTATTTCTCACAGTTCTGTAGGCTAGGAAGTCCATGATCATGGGACAGGCAAATTTGGTATCTGGTGAGGGCTGCTTCCGGTTCATAGATAGCCATCTGCTTGCTGTGTTTTCATGAGGCAAAGGGAAAGCTCTCTGGGATCTCTTATAAAGGTACCAATGCCATCTCCAATAAAGCCCCCTCCACTTAGGTGGTATTAGTACCATCACCTTAGTGAGGGGGTAAGATTTCAACATATGAATTTTAGGGGGACACATTCAGGCTACAGCAGCCTGGTTTGGTTTCTGTTGAATTTTGATATGTCCTTCTACCGGGGTTGTTTTGTTAGAGGGAATCCTAGAGGTTAACATCATCCAGATGACAGACGTGCCACAGCCTGACGGCTCCCTGATGGACTTTGTTGTGACCTGCCAGGGGACGTGAGTATATGGTCTCTGTCAGAGCGATGGGTCAAGTGAGGACCCCTTGTCTGAACAAAGCCCTTGACCACCTGTTACCTCTTCTAAATTGATTAATATTTCTACTCATCAGTACTCCTGGACAAGGAAGGGTTTACAAAGGACCCCAGGAGACACTATCAAGAGCACATTCATGTTGCTGGAGCTGAGAAATGCTTGTTACCTTCAACAGTTGATTAAGTTGAAGAGAAGTTACTATATCTGGTTGAACACTTCCGATGTTCATAGCCCTGCACACTTGCTCTTACATCGAATCTGCACAGGAACCCTATGAGTCTCTCCATTTTACAGAGGAGACAACTGAGGCACGCAGCGATCATGGCACTTGTCCACATAGACCGCTGGTTCCCAGCAAGGTGTGACTCATTGGCCTGCCGTCTGGCTACACAAGCTCTTAAGCTCCCTAAGGCTCCTTCCTTATTGGTGGGAAGCCAGTGTGGAATTGTCATAGCCAACATTATTGCAATGCCTGATAATCCTCTCTCTTTATAATTTACAAAGTTCTTTCCAAAGTGTTATAAAATCTGATTTCCTATGATTTGGTTATGACTGTATATAATAAACTAAATGGTAGTTAAGTAGGAGCTGAATAAGTATGTAGCAACAAAACACAAGGTCTGTGAGACTGACCACTGTGGGAAGGTTCTGAGTCACATCCAGAGACCTCCCTGAGTGTGCCAGACCCACGTGTGCCCATGATCCAGGACTGCTGAGGCTAGGGGTCAGCCGGGCATTAAGTCCATATTGGGGGTGATCTCTCTCTCTTTCTGTGTGTGTTTCTTGCTTATGAAAGAAACAAAAATATTTTTAAATTCATTAACAATTAATTATGATTGATTAGTGCACAAATACTGTATAAATTGACTAACTATATATTAACAATAATTTACATTTAACACATTTTAATGTGTGTGTATAAATTAAGAAAAAGGATTATTAAAATGTAGCCTTACTGGTGGAAAGGAAGAACTGAGAAGTGTTTGGGACATGAAGAAGGATCCCTCATGAATAATTAGTGCAGGCTTCCTGGGAGGAAGGAAGTGCTCACTAATTAGTTCCTGTGAGAGCACCATGGCACTGTTCAGAAGTCAGATCCCACATGGTGACCACACTTTGAATCCTTCTCCTAAAACCTCACTTTTCTGAGGATACCGAAGGCATAGTAACTCACCCAGGCTTGTCTAATTGTAAATTATTCTCAACAATTCAGCATCATTCAGTTTGACCAAGAATGAGGAGGAATTCAGTTTTATGGAAATGTCATGATGTCCTTTTTTTTAAACTGATATTCCATTCCGCTCTCCCCATCTGTGTTCTCCATGCCTTGCACCCCCTCCCACACTGCAGCACTCCCACCGAGGTCTGTACCGTCATTTCTGACCCCACCTGCCAGATGGCTCAGGACGCAGTCTGTGACCCTGTGGCCGTGGATGGTACGTGCCTGCTGACTGTGAGGAGAGCCTTCAACGGGTCTGGGATGTACTGTGTGAACCTCACTCTGGGGGATGATGCAAGCCTGGCCCTCACAAGCACCCTGATCTCTGTCCCTGGAAGAGGTGAGATTTGTTTTACGGTTGTAGGAGCTTTTTTTATTACAGCTCAAGTCTATACCCAATGCTAAAGCTATTAGGGCTCTGCTATCAATGTTAGCTTTTATTTCAGTACAAAATTCATTGAACTCTTGTTAATAAGGATTTGAGAAACGACCTTAAAATCCAATAGCAAATCTACTTAAGAAAGAGATGAGAGGGAGAAACCCAGCAAAATAGGGCCCCATAAAGAGCCTTTTGATGGAAACAATCAGCTGTGATCATGGACCAGTAATAATGGGATATAATCACCCATCATCACATAGATTTCTATTTCAAAGAAAAAATATTAAGCCCAACATCAAAAATAGGAATGTCATCTGGGACCAGCAGTTAGCATAATGGCTATGTCGCTGAACTCCCACGTAGTCGACCGCTGTTCGAGTCCTGGACCTGGTGGCTTAAACTCACGCCGGGCGCGTGTGCGTGCGTGCCCAAGATCCCGAGAGGAGAATGGAGGAGAAGGGATTGCGGCGTGGCCATCCCCTCTGGGGGGGGGATTTCTCGCTTTCTATCTCTCTGTCTCTCTCTGTCTGTCTGGCGAGTGCACGCGCCCTATAGCAAAAACCTCTCAAAAAAAAAAAAAATAGGAATGTCGTCTGACGAAATGATGTCAAAAGGGAGGTTGATACCATGCTTTCATGAGAGTCCACATGGGCAAAGACAGAAAGCCAAGCAGAAACCAGGTAGACTTCGCTCTCCCTTCTAACCGGCCCCATGTTCTCTATTTCTGTTCCCCAATTCTTCCCCATGCATTACACTGAGACAATAATGAGACAGTAACGAACCAACTCACCTTTCAGACAGTCATCAGAAACACTAGTCTTGCCCTCCCGATGTTCAGAGAGGTAAGTGCTAACAAAGTAGGCTAGGAACCTATAGCAAAAACCTCTCCAAAAAAACAGAGTAGGCTAAAGAATTTTATTTATATTTGCGCTTACTGATGGCAACCAACTTTCCCCTGTCCCCAACTTAGGGCTCTACCCAGTGGCCCTCACTTTGTTTTTGTTTTTTTAAAGAATGATTTTATTGGAACCAGCAGTTGGCATAATGGCTATGTCGCTGGACTCCCACGTAATTGACCATGATTTGAGTCCCCCGGTCCTGGTGGCTTAAACTCACACCAGGCGCGTGTGCATGCATGCCCAGAATCCCTAGAGGAGAATGGAGGAGAAGGGATTGCTGCATGGCCATCCCCCCTGGGGGGTGATTTCTCACTTTTTGTCTCTCTCTCTTTCTGGTGAGTGTGTTCCCTATAGCAAAAAAACCTCTCCAAAAAAAACAAAAACAAACCAAAAAAGCAGGGTATATGGCTAAACAGAAAGCAACATGGAGAAATCACCTCATGGCTTGCAGCTAGGCATTTGCCTTGTTTGAGCATGGTGCGATCAGTTGGCTGCCTGCAATTGGCTGAAGCTTGGCTGTTTGTTACATAGTCTACTCCTAAATTAGATTTTGGTTTGCTTAACTACTTAGTTTGTAGTTTGTTAGATAGGAACCAAAATACACAGGCTCAAGCCAATTCCTCCTGCTTATTTAACTCAAATGATGAAAAAAATAAACAAGATGATATTGTGAAGAAAATAAAGTGAAAGAAAGAGATGTTTCCAAATTTATGAATATATATACATATAAAATCTCAAAATAAAAATAAACCTAGAACAAAAATTGAAGGTGTACAACACAATGTAATGTTCTTTGTTGAGGACCATGAATATGGTAATATCCTTTATTTGATTATTACACTCTGCATGCATGTTTTGAAAAACCACACTGTACCCACAAAGATGTACAACTGAATGTAAATAAGAAATTGTTAAAAGAAAAACAAACAGCAACAAACAAGGTCAGGGAATGGGGAAGGTGGGGCCAAAGGCTGGCTTTCTAGATTGGGAGGTCAGAAATAGTCCTGCCACCGAGGGATACCCACTTGTTAAAAGGCCTCCTCTGAGCTGAGAGCTGAATTACAAGTATGAGCAGCCTATTTAGATCCTTGCAGGCCACCGTTAGGGTTTGGATTTTTTTTTTTCTGTATGCAAGGGGAAGCCATTGGCAGGTGAAGCATGAAGGTTTTAGAAATGGCTGGGACTGCAAGTTAGAAAGGATTGCTGGGAGATAAGAATAGAAGCAGACAGACAACTGAGGTGTTCTCTCAGGGAAGAGGGCTGGTGGCTGGGGTTGCGAGGGTAGCCAAAGAATTGGAAGAAAAAAATAGATAAATTTGGGTCATGCTTTGGTGGTACACACAGAACTAGTCGATTTGCTGTTTTGGGAGAGAAGATGGAAGACATAATCCCTGCCTCTGTAGTTCTCATAGTCTAGTAGGAGAAAATATGAGGGGGTCTTCAAAAAGTTTATAGAAAAACTATGCGTGAAATTTGGGGGGAAGCACAAAAATAAACATTTACTTTAATTCCCCCTTTCCATGAACTTTTTGAAGTATTCCCGTATAGTCAAGGAAATAATTGCAACACAACGTGATCGAGGCAAAGGAAGGGAAACGAGTGGAGTGGGACAAGGAAGATGTGATCGCTCGAGAATGTCTGTCTGGAAAGTGTCACCAAGGGGTGGACATTTGAGGAAAGCCAGGGAAAGACATTCCTAGCTGGGGGTGGAGGGAGAGGAAGCGCAGAGGTTTGAAAGAGAGTGGGGAGGATGAGCAGCTCCCAGAATTTCTTTTCTTTCTTTTTTTTTTGTTTAAGTTTGCTATAAGGTGTGTGTACTCACTGGCGAGAGACAGAGAAAGATAGAGACAGAGACAGAGACAGAGAGAAAGTGAGAAATCACCCCCCAGGGGGGATGGCCACACTGCAACCTCCTCCATTTTCCTCGCTGAACTTTGGGCATGCACGCACATGCATCTGGTGTTTTTCAAGCCGCCGGCTCTAAGACTCTAGTAGTGCAGTTAGCCACACGAGATCCAGCTGCAGTAACCTCCATGCCACCTGATGGGCCCAGCTCCCAGGATTTTCAGTGCAGCTGGAAGTAAGGTAGCAGGGGATGAGGTTAGAGGCTGCTCAGGGGGATCACGGAGCCCTTCTGCATGCGGGCGCTGAGCCAGCAGTGAGATCTGAGCAGGTGTCTCCAGGACATGACGTCTCTCTCTGAGCCTATAACACAGTGTTCCAGACATGCTAACTCATTCTCTAAATGGGAGATAAGCTGACCCAAAGACTATGTATTATTTAACGGAGAAGATTACCGAAAGCCCGCAGGGAGCCATGTATCTTCTGTGATAGTGCCATCCTCATTTATTTAATGGCATTACAAGCAGCATGTCCTCTGGGTGGAAGACATCACTAATATGGTCTTGCTTCTGTTTGAAGACTCAGCCTCCCCTTCAAGAATGGTAAATGGTGCCCTGATCTCCATGGGCTGCTTGGCCTTATTTGTCACTGTGATCACCCTTCTGGTATACAAGTAAGTTTCTGGTTCTAGCACTTGACATAGCTGTAGTATATGTCAAAAGTAAATAGCATATTTCTGTGCAAATGTGCCATTTTTCCTATCTTGCTTTTAAGCATTTTGTGTGGGGGAGGAAAATCTTCCACTGAATGAATGATGAATACCAAAGTGGCCTGTTAATGTTTGGTGTTCTTTTTTTTAATCTTAAAAATGTTGCCAGATGTCTGTAACTGTACAAAACTGTGTCTACCTAACATTTACCATATTGGGTCATCAGAAAAGTAATGATTATTTGTTATGCAAAAATACATTGAGACTTTTCTGATGACCCAATCTATCTCAAATTGTAGTGAGCAAACACATTTCTTGCATGAAGAAAATAAATGTGCTTTCATAAGATGCTCATGTCTTACAAGCCATAGATTAGAGTGAGTGGAATGAACCCTTTTGCACCTGGCATAACAAGGACTGTAGAAAGTGGTATGTTAGAGCCCAAGGTCTTTTAAAATAACTGTCCAACCCATTGTTTTCAGAAGACACAAGGAATACAAACCAATAGAAAACAGTACTGGAAATGTGGCCAAAGGCAAAGGCCTGAATGTTTTCCTCATCCACGCAAAAGCCATGTTCTTCCCTGGAAACCAGGAGAAGGATCCACTGCTCAAGAACCAACCTGGAATACTTTAAGTTTCAACTCCGTCTTCAGTGCCATTCTGTGAGCCGTGCTGGAGTGGATAACTATTATCTTTTTGTTCTCCCTAAGGATTATTGTACAATATTTGTTGTGGTTTAGGGAAGCTGAATTTTTTTTTATAGGTTAAATGACATTTTAGAGAAGTAGAGCAAAATTATTCTGCATGCAGCCTCAGCCACGTTGTCTAACTGATAAGACAACTCAGTGGTGCTTCCTCTCATTATTCGTTGTGGTTCACTTAGAGTGCTTTAGGTAACTAGTAGGATAGACATTTTGCGTCCCAAGAGTATGGGAAGAAGCTACTATTTGTGAGTCTGACCCAGGCAAACTGGAAGGAGAGGGCACCTTTCAGCTTTCCAGATTACCAAGTAGATAGCACTAATGCAGTCTTGTCCTTAGGACAAGCTACCTGAATTTTCGGTGAACACGTGTGAGTTCCAGAAAGGACAATAGCAGTCCCAGTATTTTAGTAGGATAGATGTGCTCTTTACATGCAGAAAAAATATATATTAACCTAATAAATAGGTGTGCATATTTTCGGGACAACCTGCTGAGTGAAGGAATGGTAGTCATTCATTAGTTTTTCTATGGACATTTATTTAGTGCTCTCTGTGTCCCAGGCATGGTGCTAGGAACATGGCCCCTGTGTTCAGAGAGTCGACACTCTTATGTATATATCTGAATTTCTGTATACTCTGGTGTACATATTTGAAATCACTCATTATAGTTTTCTAAAGGAGGCCCCAGGTTTCCTACCAGTTTCTCTATTTAAATGCTATGAAAACTTGATCAATAAGGATTTTACCTCCATTTGTAACCCAAACCATCTACCATATGTTAGACGTGGCATTCTTTTTCTCTCCTTTCTGAAAAATAAAGTGTGGGAAGAGGTGAGACCTTAGTATTGTCATTATTTTCTAATTTTTCATTTGCCTTTTTATCTCATTTTTAGTTCTAGGCAGGTACAAAGTTGGTTAATGCTACTCTATAATGCATTTATAATTTCATACTTTTTATTTTAAAATATGTATAGATAGTATGTACAATTCAATTAAAAAATAAACTGGGGGGGTACTAGGTCACAGTCAGGAAGGTTTTTTTTCTGTAAGGGGCCAGGTTATAAATATTTTAGGCTTCATGAGCCATACTGTTTTGTCTCAGCTACACAGCTCGACAGTTGTAGCAGAAAACCACCACAGACATAAGTGAAAGAGCACGGCTGCATTCCAGCAAAAATGTATTTATAAAAACAGGTGGTGGGCCAGATTTGGCACATGGGGCATAGTTTGTTCTATACTACGAGAGACTGAATGACATCGCAACCAAATGCAATCTGAGACTCTAGACTGAATCCTAGGTTGGGAAAAAAAATTAAAATTCTAGAAAATATTTTCTTGGGACAACTGGAGAAATTTGGATATATACCGAATACCAGATGATATTACAGAATGATTGTTCATTTTCTTAACATTTAGTCTAGTTCCTTTACTTCCTAGATGACCTAGAGGCCAAAAAGAAGACCTTTGTTATGAAATCACCTCCCCAAAGTGCAAAACCTGCAGAACAGGAATTGGGAGAGTTTTCCCCATTTATGCTGACTGGAGGGCTATGGTTTTCTCACAGGGATGATTTTGCCTCCTCCCCTTTCTCCCCCTCAAGGGGATGGCTGACAGTGTCTGAAGGCATTTATGGTTGTCAAAGGTAGGGTGGGGCGCTACTGGCATCTAGTACAGACCAGGGATGCTACTACACATCCCACAATCTACAGGATAATGAAAGATTGTCTGGCTTAAAATGTCAGAATCCTGCCATAGAGCAATTAAAGAAACTCTGAGCACAGACATAAAGACAGAAGATGGAGTTGAATCCAGCCCTGCCACTTAAAACTGAGTAACTCTGGGTAAGTTACTTGAGCTTCAGTCTCCTCATCCGTAAAGCGGATATGTAGTTCCTCTCCGCGTACTTCACAGGGCTCCTGCAAGTCCCCCTGACAGAATGAATGGACATGAAGATTTGGTATATGGCGTAGGAGTAGATATGACATGAGGTCGAAGGACAGAGCAGTGTGGAGTGTGGAGAGGGTTTATAATGTTTATGATAATTAAGAGGCTAGGATACTAGTATGGAAACAGAAAAGTTATGTCCCCCTGTGAGAAAATCACCTGGAGGCCTGTTAGAACAGATTGTAAAACCTCACCCCCAGAGTTTCTAAATCAATGTTACGAGGCAGGGTCCCTAAAGAAAGTGAGAAATTATCTCTGGGGATGGCCAAGCCACAATTCCTTCTCTTCCATTCTCCTCTCGGGACTTTGGACACACACACACAGAGACCCAGCATGAGTTTTAAGCCACCGGGTCCAGGATCCAAATCAGCAATTGATCATGTGAAAGTCCAGAGATATAACCATTATTCCGCTGGTCCGACCCAACTTGTGTTTATAGTTTTGTGGGTTTTTTTGGTTTGTTTTTTGGTTTTTGGGTTTTTTTTTTTTTTTGAGAGGTTTTTGCTGTAGGGCATGTGCACTCACCAGAAAGACAGAGAGAGACAGAGAGATAGAAAACGAGAAATCACCCCCCGGGGGGATGGCCACGCCACAATCCCCTTCTCCTCCATTCTCCTCTCGGGATCTTGGGCATGCACGCACACGCGCCCGGCGTGAGTTTTAAGCCACCAGGTCTGGGACGCGAACCACGGTCGACTACGTGGGAGTCCAACGACATAGCCATTACGCTAACTGCTGGTCCCCTTATTTACTTCTTCTAGGAGAGAAGGAGCTAGAGAGAGAGAGAGAGAGAGAGAAAGAGAGAGAGAGATTTCTTCCAAAAGAAAGGAAGCTAGAGAGACAGAGAGACAGAGAGACAGACACCCCCAGCAGGGTCTTCACATGATCCACTCCAGCCTCAGCCAGCCTGCTTCATAGGCACACACAGCATGCTCAGGGATTCATATCCCAGGACCATTCCCATGTGGATCCATTTGTGTTATTACCATACCACCACCCGGCCCCATTTTTTTTGCTATTAAAAACAAGTTTAAATTTGGTCCTATAACTTTTTTTTTCATACTACAAGAGTTAGTTTTATTTGTTCAAGGGCTTGTATTGCAAGCATTAAACCAAGCATTGGCTTTGATTCTGTGGGTCCATATTCACATATTAAGATCAAAGCAAACTATGATCTATGTACCTGGATGAAAACTAAAGGCTCAGAGTTAATCACGCTGTAATCTGTCTCTATTTCTCTCTCTGTCTGTCTGGTGAGCGCACGCGCCCTATAGTGAAAAACCTCTCCAAAAAAAAAAAAAAAAACAAGTTTAAATTTGGTCCTATAACTTTTTTTTCATACTACAAGAGTTAGTTTTATTTGTTCAAGGGCTTGTATTGTAAGCATTAAACCAAGCATTGGCTTTGATTCTGTGGGCATATATTCACATATTAAGATAAAAACAAACTCGCCAGAAAGACAGAGAGAGACAGAGAGACAGAAAGCGAGAAATCACCCCCCAGGGGGGATGGCCACGCCGCAATCCCTTCTCCTCCATTCTCCTCTCGGGATCTTGGGCATGCATGCACACGCACCCGGCGTGTGTTTAAGCCACTGGGTCTGGGACTCGAACCGAGGTCGACTACATGGGAGTCCAGAAACATAGCCATTACGCTAACTACTAGTCCCCCCAACTTGTGTTTATAATAGTGGTTCCCCATGACAACTTTGAGAAATACTGGGCTTGAGATCTGCTCTTCTCTTCTCCTATCAACAGGGGGTAGCAGAGAGCAGTAAATATACAATCACCAAAGAAACAGGTTGAAATCCTCATCAGACCTTCCTCAATATCAGTCTAACAAATGGTAGGAAAGAAAGCTGAAATAGTGAATTCTTTAGATTTATACTTTCTGTGTGACCCTAGCAACAAGTCATTTAGCATCTGTTGAATCACTATCAGTAAAACGGGGAACAGTCCAGGACTTTGGGATGATTTAATTAATGTTTGCTGAGAATTAGAACTTGCAAAGAAAATTGAAATGTGTAGGTAATAAATTAGTCCGGGAATTTCTTATTCCTAAGACTTTTTATAAATGTCTTTATTTTAAACACTTCTGACTCATTCACAAGCATTGTTTGCCCTCGTTGAATGTCCAGTTATTTAACAGTTTAGAGAGCAGTTCATTTCATTCAGATTGTGTAGTGACCCCAAACCCAAGGGGTAGACGATGGTCACAGGGGAAGCAGTCATCCCTGCAGTGAAGGTGACCTCCTTCGATGGGACAGCGCTGATGCAGAAAAATCCATTAAGATTTTTCTAAAGATGGCTCCAGAGCTGCTAAAATAAGTACCCTAAAACTTCAGGCTCTGTCCCAGGTTCTGATCTAAGAGGGGACACAATGGTGACAAGAGAGCTAAAGACTCCATTGTCATGGATCTTGGATTTCAGGTGAAGGCAACATGTCACCACACAAGTGTCACTACAGCGAGAGCATGACCTCTGACCTGGGACCCTCCCCATCCTGTCCAGCCCCACTGGCCTCAGCTTAATCTGCAGAGGCAATTCCTCTGCTTCTTATAGCTAAATGGCCATTCCTTCTGTCCTTAAGACTCTGGGGAAAATTTGCTGGGACCAGCAGTTAGCGTAATGTGAACTCCCATGTAGCCACCCGCAGTTTGAATCCCAGACCCGGTGGCTTAAACTCACACCTGGCGCGTGTGCATGCATGCCCAAAATCTAGAGAGGAGAATGGAGGAGAAGGGATTGTGGCGTGGCCATCCCCCCTGGGGGGTGATTCCTTGCTTTCTCCCTCTCTATCTTTCTGGAGAGCACATGCGCCCTATAGCAAAAACCTCTCAAAAAAAAAAAAAAAAAAAAGAAAGTCTCTGGGGAAAACTTGCTTTGGAGTGCTTTCACAGGATTTTTGGAATTTGGGTGCTTTATTAGTATGTATGTATGTATGTATGCTTTATTAGTATTTTTAAATAATTTCCATTCTATGTATAAGTTTCCCACAATATTATTATGACACCCCATTAAGCAAAATGTCTCCTGAATTTACCATGTAATTACCACTATTAATTGTACTACACAGATTTTAATGGCATAAACATCAAGGTTTGAATTTAATGAGTCCTTCACTTTAAGGTATTTATTTAAATAAATTTCACTAAGGAGGCCAACAGGTGGCATGGTAGTTTAGCCAACTGTGTTTTGAGTCCCAGACCTGGAAGCTTGAAATCCCACTGGGCGTGTGTGCATGTATGCCCAAAATCTCAAGAGGACAATGGAGAAGGGATTGCAGTGTGGCCATCCCCTCAGGGGGTGATTTGCTCACTTTCTGTCTCACTATCTTTGCCTAAATAAATAAATAATTAAATTCCGGGTACCAGCAGATCGTATTATGGTGCTGTCATTGGACTCTCATATGGCCGACCATAGTTTGAGTCCCAGACCTGGAGGCTTGAGACTCATGCCAGGCACATGAGCGTTTGTCCCCGAAGTCCTGAGAGGAGAATGGAAATGATGGGATTGTGGCATGGCCATCCCCCTTAGGGGGTGATTTTTCACTTCTGTTTCTCTGTCTCTCCAGTGAGTGCACAAACACTACAGCAAAAAAATAAATAAAAATAAAATAAAAATAAAAAAATTCTAAAAAATTTTAAAAATAAAAAAGAAATTCCCTTAGGGTACAAAAAAATTGTTGCTGATAAGGAAATGACAGGCAAGTTTTGTGGCTGTGTATATTGTTTTAAAAATTGGTTTTTGGAATTGAGAAGGAAGACAGAGATGACTTAAATCAAGACACCTGAACTCTAGCCTGGCCTCACATCACTCACTAGGCAGTGGCCCGGCACCAGTCATTTTCCCTCCCTGTTCTGCAGCTTCTTCCCTTATTAGAGGCAAAGAG